ATTCTGTGAACGGTTTTGACCCCCTTGTGTAAGGATAGATACACTGGCATTGGAGGCAGACCAGACAAGTTTCACAAGGCTGATTGTGGGTCTGGTGGGATTTTCTTATGAGGACAGTTGAGTAGTTTGGCCCTGCACTGATTAGAGTTTAGAAGAATGAGAAGAAACCTTGTTGAATGATAAGATTTTGGGGGGCTTTAGACGATAGGTGCAGAAAAGTTGTTCCTCTTTGTGGGAAAGTCTAAGACCAAAAAATATACAGTGAGGAGTTGCCTATTTGAGAGCGATGAGGAGGAATTGTTTTTCAATCAAGGTCGATCTGAGGAATTCTTTACTGCAGAGGGCTGTCAAGGCTGGTTCATTTTAAGTATATTCAAAGCTGAGACAGACAGATTTTTAATCAGCAAAGGAATTGAGGTTTATGGGGATAAGGCAGTAAAGTGAAGTTGAGGATTATCAGATCAGCCACAATCTCATTGAATAGCAGAGTAGACTTGATGGGCCCAATGACCTACTTCTGCTCGTATGGGCCACAAGACCATAACGCATAAAAGATTCTAGTGGGGGGACTTGGCATGTTTTAAAATAAAGAAGCTGTTTCCTTAATGGGGAAATCTTAAACTAGGGGCAGAATAAGGGAACATACTTTTAAAAATGAAATGAAAAAAACCTCTCCCAGAGGATAGTGAATGTCTGGAATTTTCCATCCCACATAGTTGTGGAGTGAGATCACTGGAAGTATTTCAAGAGTGGATAGGTAGATTTTTGAATGTATCAGGAAATTGAGGTCTATGAAGAGCAGGAATGAAAGAGGAGTTAAGACCTGAAGCAGGTTGGACATATCATTGTTGAAAAGCAGAAGCAGGCTTGAGGGGCCGAATGGTCTCCTCCTGCAGCTGATTTCTTCTGTTCTAGTTAAGTCTCAATGAGGTCACCTCTCAGTCTTCAAAATGCTAGAGGACGCAGACCCAGTCTCCTCGATCTCTCCTCATAAAACAATCCTGCAATCCCCAGATTAATCTGGTGAATCTCCATTACAGTCCATGTGTTGCAAGTATATCTTTGCTTAGATAAGGAGACCAAAACTGCACACATTACTCCCAATGAGATCTCACCAAGGCTCGTACAACTGCAGCAAAACATCTTTACCTCTGTGCTCAAAGCCCCATGGATGAAAGCCAACATATAGTTTCCCTTTCTAATTGTTTACTGACCCAGCATGCTAGTTTTTAGTGACTCATGGGCAAGAAGACAAATCATTTTGGACATCCACACTTCCCAAGCACCTGATATTTCAGAAATATTCTGCTTTTTTTGTACCAAGGTGAATAATTTCTCATTTATTTGCATTCTGTTCTATCTGCTATACTCTAGCCTATTCATTCAGCCTCTCCCAATACTTTTTAATCCATCTTGAATCCTCCTCACAAATTTGTGTTCCCAACCAATTTGGTGTCGTGAGTAAATTTGGAAATACTTCAACTGACCCCACATCCAAACCATTGATGTAGATTGCGAACAGTTTGAACCTAGAATTGACCCATGCAGAGCCTGCCATCCTAAGAATGATCCATTATTCCAACGCTCAGCTTTCTCTCTCAGCCGATTCTCCACTATACTGGTATATTCCAACCTCCGCCCCATCCAACATGCTGTAATGTTATTTACTAAATACCTGCATAAGACTTCTAAAAATCTGAATGCACTGCATCCATTAGTTCTCCTTTGTCTATGTTACAACTAACATATTCAAAAATGTTTTATTTTCCCAAGTGTGATTTCCTCTTTACAATTCACATTGAGTCTTCCCAATCTTGCCATTCTTTTCTAAATGTTCATTTATCACATCCTGTATAACAGATGATATCGATTCTCAGCTGCTAACATCAAAGTAACAGATCTGTAGCTCTCCATTCTCCCTCTCTCTCTCTCTCTCATTTAAATAGCGGAGTCACATTTGCTTCATTCCAGTCAGCAAGACCCTTTCCAAAATCTGTAGATTTATGAAAGAACACTAATGTATCGATTAGTTCAGTTGCTACTTCCTTCAACGGTCTGGGATGAACCTCACCTGATCCAATACATTTATTGACCCTCAGTCCAGGTTTTTTTTTCCAAGCACCACCTCTTTAGTAATTTGGTTTGGTTTTTCAGTTACACTTGTCCTTTGGTCACCTATTGTTTTGGGGAGACTTTCTGTATCCTATTCGTGAAGATAGGGGCTGAATAACTGTTTAGTTTCTCCTCCATTTCCCAATTCTCCTGCTTGCTCCTGTAATGGGCCCACATTTATCATTACTGATACTTTTCATTTCTCATATCGCTAGGACATTTTACAGTGCCTTTATGCTCCTATACGCATCTGTTGGTTGGGTCCAGCGCTGGTGGCAGCAAAGCGGTGGTTGATGGGCATCACAGCAACATTGAGGTGGGCCCAGATCCGGGCCCGTTGATTGGTCCAGGACAGGCAGCGAGGCAACGGTGGCAGATAATTGACTCGGTGGCGAAAGATCATGCCTGAAGAGTGGCAACTTTGACGTCTGTTAGGTCCGGTGTAGATGGCAGTGAGGTGGTGGAAGACGGAAGGAGGTGCAGCCATTGTTGATGATGATCTGGCTCAGGATTGATGGACAGTCTCTAACCTCAATCTTTCTATTTTTTTCTTATTCTTGAACTATTCAAAATGGTGCCAGATCATGGCAACAGTGGAAAAGCTTTTCACTGTATTTTACTGTTCTTTCTCACTAAAATGCCAAAATTGTTCATTCATTCACTGGCTTGCATTCACATTCTTTTCCCCCCAGTTCCTTATCAGTTTCTTGGTCCTCCTTTGCTGGGTCCCACGTTACTTGCAAATTTACCACCATTTTTGATATTCTTAAGCCACCTCCTTTGATTTAATTTAATCTTTGACTTGTTGCAGTAACTACAGTTGAATCACCTTTTCCTTTGGCTATTTGAGCCTTAAAGGAATGTATAGGTGTTGTAGAATTTATAGTGTTTCTTTAAATGCTACCCATTGCCCGTCTGCCATCAAACCTATTTATTGTATTTTCCTAATCCATCTGAGTCATCATGACCCGCGATGTTTCCCTTGCTGAAATCTAAGGACCGTAACTTCGGAATGAACTATGTTGCATTCACATATTACACAAAATTCCAGCATGTTATGGTCGTTATTTCCCAAAGAGAAGGTTGTTAATTAGCCTTTTCTCATTGCACAAAATCAAATCTAAAATAGCCTGATCTTCAGTTGGCTACTCAACATTCTGTTCCAGAAACTCACCTAATACACTCTCCAGGAATTCATCCTCCAAAGCATTAATGCTAACCTGGTTAACCCAGTCTATATGACAATTGAATTATTGCAGTATTCCCCCCCTCCTCCTCTTACGTGCATCTATAATTTTGTGATTTATGGCATGCCCAACATTAGTGCTGCAGTTTGGTGTTTCTTAGCTCCATCTAAATAGATTCTACATTTTGGTCCTTTGATCAAAGATCCTCATTTATAGCAATGGACTGACATTTCCCTTCAAGTCACAGATAATCCCTAACCTGGAAGTACATCACTGTTGTTTAGTGGCCAGTGGATCCAAATCCTTACCTTCACAAATTGGTCTGTGGTGATTCAGGAAGGCAGCTCACAATCCCCCTTCTTAAAGATAATTAGGAATGTCCAATAAATGTTGATCATACTGGTTACTTCTACAGTCCATCAATGAAAATAGAATTGAGTTTGAATTTCACAAGGGTAATAGAATGATCTTCATTACTGGGGTAAATCAAATGACCACAACTAAGCAGCTAGGATTGCACTGCAGACATAAACATTTAATACTGTTTCATAAGCATTTAATGTTTATGTGTTAAATGCAATTTTCTGAATTGAATCGCATTGACGACTCAGCAATCTGGATTGCAGGTACAAAATTGATTAATTTTCCAAGCTAGTGAGTAATTAACTAAACAACTGAAAAGCAATTATTGTCAAGTTGGTCTGCTTTTGCAATATTTTTTGTTTAAATTTTATGAAACAAAAAAGCATTTGGATCAATGTTCAATATGATGCTGTCACTTATTTCTTTGACTCAAAAATGTATGAAATATTTTGGCTGGCAGTTTCCTGTTTAAATTTACATTTCTGCTTCCCATCACATCATTTGAGTATTTGCAGTTCTCTTGAATTGATGGTCAGTGTAGCTTTGTATCTTATGGCTACAGATGCAAAAAATTAATATGAATTTCGTGTTTGCAAAAGAAACTAGTTTAACGGAAGCTTGAATTACACGCACACACATGCGTGCATGTGTGTGTGTGTAGAAGTTATTAAATGCAGGGATGACATTCTGTTCAACTCAAAGCAGATGAGTTTTGATGACTTGTGACAGTTGGAGGGGCTTATAACCTGCTACCTATGCACAACTGCAGCAGAGAAGAGCTAAAACCAAATAAGTATTGGGAGCACTATTTGTATTCAAAGATAAATTAACTAATTTGAAGATGATCTCTTGAATTGTACTTCGACTCATATGGTGTTTCTTCTTTCCTCCAGAAATTGTGAGGAGTGAACAAAGTAGTGTGACAAGCTGGCTGCTACTGCAGTATGGAGCTGGAGGAGCACAGCAGGCCAGGCAACATCAGAGGAGTTGACGTTTCTGAAGAAGGGTCCCGACCCGAAACGTCAACTTTCCTGCTCCTCTGATGCTGGCTGGCCTGCTGTGCTCCTCCGGCTCCACACTGTGCTATCTCTCACTCCAGCATCGGCAGTTCTTACTATCTCTGGCTGCTACTGCATATGTTCTTTTAGAAAACTACTTATACTCCCAGAAGTATAGTTGTAAGAAAATAGAAGCATTATAAAGCTTGCCTTTTTGCACAATGGGTTAAATCCTCACCAGTTTTTAAAATTGAAGGACATTTATTGAAATTACAGATATTTTTGGCTGAATTGCAGTTTGAGTACATTCACATCCTGATGTGTTTCATCGGTTTAACAGGAACAATTGCGCTATCTGCAGAACCTCAAGAGAGTTCTATAGTGGGAGATCGGTCACTGCCACAGGGAGGAGATGATGACCTCACTTCCAAAAGACCTCAGTCAGCTGGTAGCAGCAAACCCAGTCAAGAGCAGGTAAGAGACAAAAACTTTTTCTACTGGGATTTTTTTCTGGTCTGTTTTCTTTATCATTTTTCTCCAAGTATTTCCCAGGAAATTATTAATAAAAGCTTTATTGGCAAAACCTTTTTTTTTCCTCTATTGGATGTGGCAACCCTGACAAAGGTCAGAATTGTTGTCCTAATTGTCCTGGATCTGAGTGGCTTGCTCGGCCATTTCAGAGGACAGTTAAGAGTCAACCACATTGTTATGTATTTAGAGTAACGTGGATGGCAGATTTCCTTCCCTTAATGGCATTAGTGAACTGGATGGGTTTTTTTAAACAAAATACCATAGTTGATTGATACATTAGTGGTTGCCATTACAGATGGGCAGCTTTGACTTCAAGATTGAATTAGTTGGATTTCAATTACAGAAGTTTTGAGCCCATTTTTCTAAAACATTAGCCAGAGCCACTGGATTGCTAGTCCAGAGACATGCCTCCTATGCTACCGTCTGTGTATTCAAACCATCTGAAGTTACTTTCGTTATGAAATTTATATCAAGGTTTCTGTTTATACTTATCACTTAAAGCAAAATTATCTTGGTTTTTGAAATGGATGCAGTGTAAACAGGGATCGATTTGAGAGGACTGAAAACAATATCTTACATAAAAGTCTAATTTTTCCTGATTCTGAATAAAACAATTTGAAATCTTACTGTTAAAAAGAACAATTTGATTAGCTACTTCTTCTTTGCTAATGCAAGGCTGGCCCTGTTTTCTTGAAGAAATAAACATATTCAATTTGACTTTGTTTTATTAATGCGCTCGTAATTCCTCACTGCAAAATGATTTTGTCTGAAAGAGGCCAAACAGAAGAACTTTGCCTGTTATATGTCACTTGTTTCTAATATAAATGTTATTAAATGCTACTTGGTTACAGCTCTACCAGTGTCCCTACTGTAATTACAACAGTAAGGATGGAAACAGGATTCAGATGCATGTCATGTCCCAGCATTCCATGCAGCCGGTCATCTGCTGCCCTCTCTGTCAGGATGTCCTCAGCAACAAGATTCATCTACAGCTCCACCTGACCCATTTGCACAGTGTGGCACCTGACTGTGTGGAGAAGCTACTTATGACTGTAAGCAGTTTAAAGTGTATCTCACTCGAGGAGCTTTTGGCTTCAGAATTGGAAATTAAAATCCTTCATTGTTTGAAATATAAGCTGCAGAGTTTATTGCCCTTTTCAGAATGAAATGTGTTTCTGTGGTGATTTATGCTCGAAGACAAATACTGATTTGCTTTTGGATGAACTGCACTACTTCTCAAGCATCATACATCAAGAAGGGTTGATGTGCTGGTCTGGATTTTCCCATTTTAGAACTAAAATAGCGATGGTCTTTGTGTGGTAAAATATATAAATATTCTTGTGTGTTAGGAATAAATGTTTTTGATTTCTACATACTGTAAAGCTTTTTAAGACTATTTTAATGAATTTGAAAAGGAAATGCATCCATAGGAGAAAGCAAGCAAAAGAACAAGACCCATGAAGAGGTTGCTGAAGACAAAATTAAAAGTCATCTAAGCGATGAGCAGAATTATTTAAAGAATAAAAGTGAGATTTGTGAGTACTACTGGTTATTTAAAAGGCAGTTGAAGATAACTGTAGTGGGCATTAAAAGTAGGTAAAATGCCAATACAAAAATAAGTTGTGAATAATGTAGGTGCCTGTAAGGAAAAATTATTTTCAAGACAAGAAAGGTTTTTAAAGGGACAGTTTATGTAGAAGTGTGGTGAAAGGAATGAGGAGAAGTACCACACGTGTTGTGAATGCTTTAGGTGTCATTTGTGCCTCATTGACACCGCTGCCTCTAAGTGAGAATTATGTGGCTTCAAGACCCACTCCAGAGCTCTGACCATACGAAAACCAAAAGAACAGTGGCTGCTATAAATTAGAGACAAAATTAGAAATTGCTGGAAAAACTCAATAGGTCTGGCCACATCTGTGGATAGAAATTAGAGTTAACGTTACAGGTTGAGTGACCCTTCCTCAGAACCAGTTCTTCAGAATTATTTGACCCGAAACGTTAACTCTGATTTCTCTTCATAGATGCTGCCAGACCTACTGAGCCTTTCCAGCAACTTCTACTTTTGTCTCTGACCATATAATCTAGGCTGAAATGATTAGTGATGTCATACTGTTATGAAAATACTAAAAAAAACTATGTGAGACTTATGGAATACAGTCTAAATACATGAAGAAATTACTGCTTTTAAAGGTTTCATCAATATACAACATTTAGATGAGTAGAGACATGAACTAGGGAAGAATACATAAGTTGGGCAAAATTGTCAGTAGTGGTCTGATCGTTTATCAACAGCGCATTGACTGTACATTATCATTATTCAGGTCATGATAATTTAGAAACAACAGGTTGCACCTATTGGATCCTTTTAGGAAATAGCCAGATTATTTGGTAAGCACTAGTTACATTTATTTTGATTTTTGAAAGATTAAACCTGGGAATTTCCTCACTACTGTTCCCATAACTTCACCAGTAGAAACCATAGAAGCATCCCTGAAGAAATTCCTGGTCTCATTAACCAGTTAATTTACTCTTGATTACAATTTTTTTCAAAAATCACCCATTTAATAAAGCTGAAAGAGAGAGAGAACCTCCACCTGGGGTCACTGATTCTTGGATATTCATGCTTCTGTCTGTTAGAACAAAACCAAGGAAGACTTTAAAATGACAGACAGGACTCAGTTCTGGGATCCCTGCCTTACTTCCTATGTGTCATTTTTTATGGCGGGTGTAGTAAGCCCTCTTATAGCAATCATGCCTTTGCCTACTCCATTGCAGATGTAGGAAGTTTAGAAGCAAATAGCTCAGCAGTTATGTCTGTGATACATTCACCAGATGTTCTCATTAGGAGCAGAGACAGATGGCTAATTTTTTTTTCTCCACATGTCCTTATTATGAATGTTTGGCTGAACTCTAAGCCTCATTAATAAATTAACTCGGCAGGGGTCTGTTTACACAGGTGGAATTGAAGTTTTTGCTTTGATTGCCATCTTTGAGATTATAATAAACTATTCTTTCTTTGATCGTCATGTGTATTTAGGCAAAGTTAAGAGATGTGAAGTCAAGTGAAACATGTATTATTAATACCATGAATGGCTTTGACTGACCGACACTTTTACAACGTTGTAAGAGCAACAGTTTCTCAACCACGATTTCTTTTCCCCCAAGAGCGTTTCAAAGAATTGCTACTTACAATAAGGCTCAATGGTTCTATACATAATAATGCTTAATATGTGAGTGGGCTTGGAGAGTGGAAAGAGCACAGAAGGAACATGGAAATGGACAGTGAAAGTGGTTATAAGGAGGGCTTGAGACTTGAAATCAAACGAAGTCGTGGAGAAGTAATGTTGGCCTTCTAGCCAGCCCAGCTCAGTACTCCATCTGCAAACTGCTCCTGAGGTGGAAGGCTAACTTCTTCCTGCTGGGGTGAAAATATGCGGGGAAGCTTTGTTTTTTATAAAAGGAATTTGGTCTGCCTGGTTGGGCAGTTTCTAAACTCAACTTTTCTGCTTCCTTGATTAAATCCACTCCATGGACTCATCTATTTAAACTGTTCTTGTGGTGGAGGGTTTTATTACAAATGATGTTAAATGGTGCGGCAAGATGACCAGTATGGAAAAGATTTTGTAGTCATTGGCCAAAGTAATGGGTTTTAAGGTGTATAAATATAAAACAAAGGACACTGGAAGAACAACAGTGTGTGTGCTCAGTGGCTGGTTCTCCATTTGCAAAAGCAATACAGAAAAAAAATTGGACAGTTTGCAATCTTGATATCAGATTTGACCCAAAGATGAGCTTCACATTTGACCACCAACAATATCACCTTTCAACCTCTGCACATTACCTGTGCCTTAGGCAGTTAGAGATGGACAACATTGCACCTATTTCATGAATGAATGAAGGAATTAGTTCGAGGTTACACCAGGGTTCTTGAAAAATACAGGAAAGTACTTAGAATGGCAGCATTTGGGCTGTAATCGTAGCTGACTATTTTCAGTCAAAAGTTATTTGTGGAAAGGGGAAAATTAATGTACCAGCAGTATTTAAAGGATGACAGGGAAGATTGCTGTGTGCAACAAAAATATCCAACTGCTGAATGTAGTTCAGCGAAGTGTAACAAAACTTAAACCTAAGTAAAGGCAATGGAACTACCAAAAAATATGGAGCAGGTCTTGAGCCTTTACTGTGGACATGATGTTGTCTCAGGGAGGAACAAGGAACATGGTCTTAAGGTCAGAAGAAGAGTTCACACAAAATACAGATTTAACAACTTAATGCAGAGATCAGTGCACAAGTTGAACAGACTGCCAAATGAGTTAGTGGAGACAAACTAAAGAAGAATTGAGATATTTGCAAATGGTCACCGCATTAAACAGATGGGTTCTAGTAACCAGTTTCTAGGTGATGTTCTACTTGATAATGAATCCATGACCGAGTGTCTGGGGAGCTCTGAAAATGCACTGGAAGATGATATGAGCATTAGTAGACAAAAGACCTAATTTATGGGCTGCAGGTCCGAGCTTGGGGGAAGAAGCTCGGGATGAAGATATAAAGATTAGTCAGGTGGAAACTCGGAGGAGGTCAGTATCATGAGGAACACGTGCTAACATTTCTGTCCTAGGCCTGCTGCAGAATTCCAGTGAAACCTGACACAAGCTGAAGGAGCAACTCCTCATTTTCTGCTTGACAGCCTTCAGAAATCAACATGAAGTCCATCAATTTCAGACCATGAACACTGTCCTCCATTTGAACACACCACAACTCCCCATCCCACTCACACCCAAAGTGTTTACTTTGCATGGGTTTGCCCCCAGCACAGCTGACCTTTCCTCCATTACTAACACCTTACCATTAACACTACTCTTTATCGATATCTCCCTAACTACCATTAACGCTCCTTTTGCCTTTTGCTCTGGGCACCCTTACCACTTGTTCCACTTGCTCTTCTTGTCCTTTTGTCAACAACATAAAAACCGTAATTTTTCAGTCCTCTTCAGTTATAAAGACAAGCCATATTGGACTCAATGGTAATTTTGTTTCTCTCTGCACAGATGCTGCCAGAACTGCCGAGTTTCTCCAATAATTTCTGTTTATATTTGTTGTTGGCAAACTGTCTAAGAAATTGATTGAGTTCTTTGATAAAGCGATGGAGAGGGGTAAGAGAGGCAGTGTATTTTGTGGGAATGTGGACTTGCAGAAGGTGTTTGATAAAATGCTACTTTAAGGGTTAAATTAACAAAATTGAAATGGAATCAAGGGACATAGCAACATGGATAAGTGACAAAGTAGAGAAAAGTTAGATTGGAGCATGTGTATAAGGAATTACAGCCAGGTTTCAGGTCACAGTTAACTGTAGTTGTCTTTGCACATGTGCAGATGTATGGCCTGGTCCAGCAAATGATAAAGATCTACACTCCTCTCAATCTAAACCCTGTCAAGATTTCCTACAACTTATTTTATGGAGTAAGAAGCAGGAATAGCAGGCCTTCTAAAAATGTTCCGATGTATCTATTAGTCAGATCTTGAAGTAATGGCACTTTTGTCCGAAGGAGATTGTATCAGAAGAGCCCCAACCAGCAAAGCATGTACGGCAGAAAATCATGTTAGCTTTCTGTGCAGATGCAGTGTGCTGGATATGAGGGGAAGAACCTGCAGTGCCGCCTGGTGTGTCTCTGTAGATCTGATGACTGTTCCTCTGAGCACAATAACTCATAATTTGTATTAATAATCACTGCTAAACAGAGCTATTTCAGACTACAACCACTTATGCTCCTCACCTTTTCCCGGCTTTCTGGAATATACAATGATCGTCAAAATGAACACTAAGTGAAAACTGAAAGAACTGCAGATGCTGCAAATCAAAAACAAAGACAGAAATTGATGGAAAAGTTCAGCAGGTCTGGCAGCATCTGTGAAGAGAAATCACAATTAACGTTTCAGGTTGAGTGACCTTTACTCAGACCGTTCTGAGGAAGGGTCACCCGACCCAAAACATTAACTCTGATTTCTCTCCACAGATGCTGCCAGACCTGCTGAAGTTTTCCAACGATTTCTATTTTTGGTTAAGCAATAAGTAAGTCCGATTAAAATACCACTCCTTCCTGACACTGCTACCATTCTATCTTATTGTACAAGGAGGAAAATTAGGAGATTAAAGTTGATTATTATTTGTTAGACAACAACATTCCTTTTTATTTGAATATATTCAATGAAAGGCAGCAGACAGAGAATATTTTAGTTATTGGCTTACCTAAGGATAGCACAAATGGAAATTCCTCGATCTGCTTCTTCAGTCCCATTGGACTTTCTCATCGTGATTTTGCTTTTGATAAATGAAATACATTTTTCTGGAAATAATTATATGTATCACATGAACTTTTGTTTTAATATGATGTGGAGATGCCAGTGTTGGACTGAGGTGGATAAAGTCAGAAGTCACACGACACCAGGTTATAGTCTAATGGGTTTATTTAACATCACAAGCTTTTGCAACGCTGCTGCTCTGTCAGGTGAAGACACCCTGAAAGCTTGTGATTTTAAACAAACCTGTCGGACTATAACCTGTTGTCATGTGACTTCCAACTTTGTTTTAAATAGATGCTGTATGTAATATTCATTCTGATATGATAAATGAGTCTCATTGTGTGTTTCTTTGAAAGGTGTCTTTTCCAGATGGGATGAACTCCACCAGTATATTGTCCTCAACTGGCTCTGAGAAAACACAGTGTTTTCTCAACAATACTGCAACTGTAACTACAGAGGAATCGTGTAAATCACATGGTAAGCTCTCTGACTTGATAGCTGACTTTGTAAAGAGGCTATTCCCACACAAACAAATTAATAACTTGGTAAATTCGGAGGTTAAAAATTACTTACACAAACTCTGGAGCATTTGGCATTGGAACAATATTATGTGTATGACATGGTCATCCTTCATTTCTTATGACTGGAGAAGTTGTTCATTTCCCTATCATTTCTGTTTCTGCCTCTCGGAGTGGGTCTTCTGAGGCTAAGGTTGTATAGTTTCTCCTTTTCAAAAAAAAAAAGCATATTTGCAAAATGTTACTACATCTTGGAGAGAGTGCTTGATTTGGATTTGAAATGCATCAGTTAATGGTTGAAAGATGACAGCCTGGACTTTGTAGTGGAATGGAACAAAGCGAGAAATGGTGTTCAGGCTGTGAATCTTAAAATGAGAAGTGCCAAAAAACTCTGACTGAATCAATGGGTTTTGTTTTAAAATAAGGATCCGGCTAGATTTGTAGCGTGTGAATTATTGTAGATGCCTTCGATTTCTTGTGGTCTATGGAGCTCTTGTTGGAATAGTGTTAATGTAAAAAATGTACAAGCACACAAGGGAAGGTGAATTTGGTCCCAAAGGCTCAGGAAAATTAAAATTTGCCAATCATAGAATGTCATCCCTATTGAATGGGAGTGACAGAATCTGTAAGAAGCCAATCCACCAATGACATGGAATTCCTACAGAGTGGAAGCAGGCCATTTGGCCCATCGAGTCCACACTGTCCCTCCGAAGAGCATTCCATCCAGACCACCACCACCACCCCCGACTTTCCTTGTAACCCTGCATTTCCCATCGCTATTCCACCTAGCCTCCACATCCCTGGACTGTGGGAGGAAACCAGAGCACCTAGAGGAAACCCACACAGACATGGGGAGAACGTGTAAACTCCACACAGATAGTCACCCAAGGGTGGGATTGAACCCAGGCCCCTGGCACTGTTACGCAGCAGTACTAATCACTGAGCCACTGTTCCATTCACTCCTGCTACTGATGAGCAGTCTAATGAGTGGAGCTAGCAGCAAGAAATGAGGGGAAGATGAGTGGTTGCCTTAACCTGAGGACTGAGCACCGGAGAAGCAGAAGTTAGAGAGATTTGTGGTAGATGAGGGTTTGCACATAGAGAGGTGATAAGGAAGCAACTACAGTGGGAGGGAGCAGGAAGGCTGTAAAAGAGAGAAGGGAAGCTATGCGAGTGTGGGGGAGGAGGTTGCAACAAAGAGGAAATTATAAACCTGTCAACATGAAACGCTCAGCAAATAAAGAGCAAGGAATGGCTCGTTGGTCTAGGGGTGTGATTTTCATTGGGCAGCACAGTGGCTCACTGGTTAGCACTGCTGCCTCACAGCGCCAGGGACCCAGGTTCAATTCCACCCTCGGGCGACTGTCTGTGTAGAGCTTGTACATTCTCCCCGTGTCAGCGTGGGCTTGCTCCGGGTTCTCCGGTTTCCTCCCACAGTCCAAAGATGTGCAGGTTAGGTGGATTGGCCACGCTGAATTGTCCATAGTGTTCAGGGATGTGTAGATTAGGTAGCTTATAGGGGGATGAGTCTGGGTGGGATGCTCTGAGGGTCGGTGTGGACTTGTTGGGCCAAAGGGCCTGTTTCCACACTCTAGGGATTCTATGATTCTATGAAATCTCGACGTCACTGAAGAAATGAATTCCATGCAAATGACAGTGAAGTCTCCAGCTTTATACTGCAGAAGTTCAAGTGCTAGATGTATTCTATGGGGGGAGAAAATGTTGTGTATCCTATTGTAATGACCATTGCTAATTGGCTGATTTAATACTGAACAGTTTTATTTTAAAAGATTTGCATTTGTGTTGTCACATGTGTTTCACATACTATGAATTACTGGGGGTACAGTGACTATTAGAGACAAGCTAAAATGTGCTAAGATCCCAAACATTAAAACTTGCATTTCTGTAGCTTTTTTTAATGATTTCTTTATATTTTGCGGTCAATGAAACACTTTGTAAGTGCAGTCATTGTTGTAATGAAGGAAGTATAATGAGACAAATGATCAGATAATTTATGGGAGCCTAGGACAAGATGGGATAATCTGAAAAGTAAAACAAGATAATATACTTAACAATCAGAACCAACTGCAGCCATGGATTTCACATGCTGTTCTTTATACGACAGTTTCTTAGGGCTTTACAGAGTTTTTTTTAGCATCTGTGTTTAAAAGGTTGAGTTTCCCTTTACCTGTGGAGCTATAAATCAAATGGTATTGGTCACCTCCTGCAGCAAGTTAGAAATATACTTCTCAGAGTTACTGAATTGCTCTGTCAGGATACATATTTTGAAATGAATGTTCTACAATATCATCAGCATGCACACAAGTTGAAGAACGTTGAAGGAGAAGAGGAAGAAATGGCTTCATATAAATCAAAAATATTCATGATACATTTATTTTCATGTTATGAAGTCACTTTCTGAGTTATTAATTGGATATGAAAAGTTTTGGGATATCTGAGATATTTAAATGTTAGCTGTGAGTGAGAATGTCATAGGTTCAAACCATAATTGAGGACTTAATTATCATAATGTAAACTTATGTGTCATACGTAAGGAGTATTTAATTTTGATGCAGATTTTAAATTGAGACCTTTGAACATTTATAATTTGAGACAAGACCTGGATCTCATAGTTTCCACCTTGTTAGCACTGACCTACAAATGTTTCTCATGGTAGGAGAAACTGGGACTTATAATTTCCCTCAAGAGTTTTGGGAAATATCTGGGAACATTCTCAAACCACTTCAGTAATCCATGCTACATTGACTGCAACAAATCATGTTCTGTTCTTGACCTGTCAAAGGCTTGGAAGTACAAATGGGAGAATCAGGAATCTTGGGAAGTTTTCCTCAGAGTAGTATTTCTGTCCCATTCAGATTGATCTTATAATGTGTCCATGATGGCTTAAAGGTGACAAATGAACTTATAGGTATTTAGTATAACATGTTAGAAGAATAACATAACATTTCATTCTTGGTGCTTTACCCAGTGCAAACCAGAGAGAGTTCACCCTTATGGTTGTTTCCATATGAAAGAGAGAAAGATAGAGATATGACAGCCTTCCCTAAATTTCAATTTCATAGATTCATGGCGGTTTGGATTGCTTCCGTTTTGTTCCTTTCACCTTATATCAATTTTTGTTAAACAGGTGAATATTCGTCAGAAGGGAAAGTTTATACAGTCTCTGACAACTCAAAGTCCGGAATTGAGTCAAAAAAGGATGAGCAGAAGATGTCAAAAGAATCTTCAGAAACAGCAGATTGGAAGAAGGATGGGAGTCAGCATTTTAAGGCCTCAGACTCTCTGCAAGATCAACTAAATGAACTCCAGAAAAGGCAACAGCTGCCTGTGTCAGAACGGCATGTGTACAAATATCGCTGTAGTCAATGTAGTCTGGCTTTCAAGACCATGCAGAAACTTCAGATTCATTCACAATATCACGCTATCCGGGCTGCCACAATGTGTAGCCTTTGCCAACGCAGCTTCCGCACATTTGTGGCTTTAAAGAGACACTTGGAAACCAGTCATCCTGAGCTAAGTGAAGTTGAGATACAACAGATATGTGGGAATTATCATATGAATGGAGAGTTCTGGTCAGAAAGTGAAGTTATCAATCAAGACGATAATATTCTGGTACAGGACATCGATAAGGAAGAGGAAATTGATCAGGATGGGAAAGCCAGTCCAACGGGAAGTGACAGCAGTTCTATTTTAGATGATTTAAGTTCAGAACCAAAACGAACACTGCCTTTCCGGAAAGGTCCAAATTTTACTATGGAAAAGTTTTTGGATCCTTCGCGACCGTACAAATGCACGGTGTGTAAAGAATCTTTCACCCAGAAGAACATTCTCTTGGTTCACTATAATTCAGTATCACACTTGCACAAACTAAAGAAAGTCCTACAAGAGGCATCAAGTCCAATTCCTCAAGAAACTAACAACAGCATAGATAACAAACCCTACAAGTGCAATACGTGTAATGTTGCTTATAGCCAGAGCTCAACATTGGAAATACATATGAGATCTGTGCTCCATCAGACAAAAGCAAGGGCAGCTAAGCTGGAAGCAGGGAGTTGTGGCACTGCAGGGGGAAGTAATAGTGTGGGCAGCGGTGGTAATCTGCTTGTTGCTGGTCAAGTGACTACAGATTCTCCTAGGATTGCCTCAATTGGTAACAAAGACATTAATACAGATATCAAAGAAGCAAACAAAAAACAGTTTACAGAATCAATTTCTCCTCATTCTGTCCAGCATCAACCACAGTCACCAGCACCGGCACATGCCCAGGCCCAGGCCCAGGCCCAGGCCCAGGCTCAGGCCCAGGCCCAGGCTCAGGCTCAGGCTCAGGCCCAGGCCCAGGCTCAAGCTCAGGCCCAGGCCCAAGCTCAGGCTCAGGCTCAGGCTCAGGCCCAGGCCCAGGCCCAAGCTCAAGTTCAGGCCCAAGCCCAGGCTCAAATGCATCTTCAACACGAGCTGCAGCAACAAGCTGCTTTCTTCCAGCCTCAGTTTCTGAATCCAGCATTATTACCACATTTCCCTATGACAGCTGAAGCTTTGCTGCAATTACAACAACCACAGTTTCTCTTTCCTTTTTATCTGCCAAGTACTGAATTTAATCTGAATACAGAGCTTGGTTTGCCTGGTTCAGGAACCTTTGGAATGTCTGCAATGACAGGATCTCTGCTGGAAGATCTAAAGCAGCAAGTACAAGGGCAACAGTTATTGCAAATTCAGCAGCAATATGGACAGCAACATCAAAGTTTACAGACTCAGCAACTGACGCAAAAACAACAGCAACAAATCCTTAAACCATCAAAGCTGGAACCAAATATTCTCAATTCTATAGAGACCCAATTGTTAAAAGACACTTATTCCCATAAAGAAACTGAGGAATTAATGGAAATAGCAGAAAGTAAGACGCAACATGAGATTTTAAGTGAGTCTGAAGCTTTAAAAGAAAATAAAGAGATAAAAAAACAGAAATCAGTAGAAACTGTGCTTCCACCTCCTCGTATTCCATCTGGTGCAAGAGGAAATGCAGCAAAAGCTTTATTGGAAAACTTTGGCTTTGAGTTGGTTATCCAGTTTAATGAAAACAAGCAGAAAGTTCAGAAGAGAAGCAAGAATGGTGAAAATGAGAAAACTGATAAGTTGGAATGTGAAGCATGTGGTAAACTGTTTTCGAACATCCTTATTCTGAAGAGCCACCAAGAGCATATTCACTACCAGTTTTTCCCATTTGGAGAGCTGGAGATATTTGCATGCCATTATAGGGAAGCGTATGACAAACTGTATCCCGTAACACCATCTTCACCAGAGTCACCTGCACCCACACCACTGCCACCTCCCCCACCACCGCCACCACCTCCTCCTCCTCCACCACCACCACCACCTCCTTCCTCAACAGCAAACGGCAAAGTCCAAGGATCTGCCCCATCGCCATTACCGCCACCACCACCTCCTCCGCCACCTCCTCCGCCTCCACCTCCCCCACCTCCCCCTTCTTCACAGTCCCAGGTTCAGATGCCGGTATCCTTGGACCTGCCTCTCTTCCCCCCGGTTATGATGCAGCATTCTTCTTTGCCACCTCAGCTCACTTTGCAACTTCCGACCATGGAGTCTTTATCTGCAGACCTCACCCAGCTCTGTCAACAGCAGTTAGGCTTAGATCCCAATTTTCTCAAACATCACCAATTCAAGCGTCCACGTACAAGAATCACAGACGATCAATTAAAGGTCTTACGAACTTATTTTGACATCAATAACTCACCAACTGAAGAACAAATTCAAGAAATGTCAGACAAGTCAGGACTTCCACAGAAAGTTATCAAGCATTGGTTTCGAAATACTCTGTTTAAAGAGAGGCAAAGAAATAAGGACTCGCCGTACAATTTCAATAATCCACCCATTACCACATTGGAAGAAACCAGAAATGATTCTTGTTTTAATACTGGAGAATGTTACAGGACAGATGGTGCAGTAAATAAGCGATCATCTAGAACACGATTCACTGACTACCAGTTGAGGGTTCTGCAGGACTTTTTTGATACGAATGCTTATCCAAAAGATGATGAAATAGAACAGTTATCCACAGTTCTGAACCTGCCTACTCGAGTAATTGTTGTGTGGTTCCAAAATGCCCGGCAAAAAGCCCGAAAGAGCTTTGAGAATCAAGCCGACGCTAAAGACAGTGAAAGAAGGGAGCTAACCAATGAACGTTATATACGAACCAACAATTTACAATATCAGTGTAAAAAATGCAATGTTGTGTTTCCGCGCATTTTCGATTTAATTACACATCAAAAGAAACAGTGTTACAAAGATGAAGACGATGATGGTCAGGATGATAGTCAGACGGAAGATTCAATGGATGCTATAGACCAAATAATGTCAAATCATCCTGACACTTCTGGTCTACCAGACTCATCAAAGCCTTCATTGGGAACAATGACAGGGTCAGGTTCCAGTTCTGGTTCTAGTACTCCTCTGATGCCTTCACCCAAACTGGAAATAGATAAATGTTCCCCTAAATCTAACTTACCAGGAGAGAAACCAAAGCAAATTGAGGCTATTCAACCCTCTCAAGTGACCAAGCTAACACCTTCACCTCCATCAGAGCCACAGTCGACAACACCTCAGTCACAGCAGCAAAAGCAATCCCAACCACAAATAATGCGGTCTCATTCACAGCCTCAAAGTACACCGACAGTTTCATCCGCCCCTCCGTCTGCAGCTGTCACCTCTTTACAGAACAGTCTACCTCCTCAAATATTACAGTACCAGTGTGACCAGTGTAAATATGCCTTTCCAACCTTGGAACTTTGGCAAGAGCACCAGCACATTCATTTCTTGGCAGCCCAAAATCAATTCCTCCATTCACAAATCTTGGATAGATCTTTAGATATGCCCTATATGATTTTTGACCCAAACAATCCTCTTATAGCAGGACAGTTACTTCCTGGGCCTCTTGCACAAATATCTTCCCAGACTAACTCATCAGTTCCAACTCCTTCCAATACTGCTTCTGGAACAGTGAAGCGCAAATTGGAAGAGAAGGAGGAGAACAACCAAAATGATAAAGAAGGCACAAATAGTAGTGATGAACCCCATCGTGATAAACGGCTCAGAACCACAATTACTCCAGAGCAGCTGGAGATATTATATGAAAAGTACCTGTTGGATTCTAATCCCACTCGCAAAATGTTAGATCATATTTCAAATGAGGTAGGCTTGAAGAAACGTGTGGTTCAGGTTTGGTTTCAGAACACTCGAGCTCGTGAAAGGAAAGGGCAGTTTCGTGCCCTTGGCCCAAGTCAATCTCACAGAAGATGCCCTTTTTGTCGAGCACTCTTCAAAGCTAAGACAGCACTTGAAACGCACATTCGTTCCCGACATTGGCATGAAGCTAAACAAGCAGGTTACAGCCTCCCACCAAGCCCCATTATGCCACAAGACGATGATGGTGACAGCCTGCAAAAAGATAATTATTTTGAATTTCCAACATTACTATTTTCCAAGATCGATGCATTAAGTGAAAATGAAGCACCATCTTCGGTTTCAACACCAGTAAGTAAAACAGCAGATATGTCACCGAAACATCTCCTGAGCCCTTCGTTATTCAAATCAGAATGCCATGAAGACACAGAAAGTCCAAATGTAAACCCTGCTGTTGTCAGTTTTGATCAGAGTAAGGCAGATTATGATGATACATCATCTATTAACACAGCTATAAGTGATGCAAGTACGGGAGATGAAGGAAACAATGAAACTGAAAACATTTTAGTTAGCACTTCAGAGAGTAAAGTTACTGAGTCTTCAGATGATTTAAAAACGTCAATAGCTGGTGATCAATTATCAGTGATGGCTACAACAACCTCAGTTGATTATTGCGATGATAGACTTTCCATCAGTTTACCTAGCCCTTCTCTAAGCTTCATTTCAAGGGATAATGATGTAGATGATAGTGTTGACCGAAGTGAGACATCAAGTTTAGCTGATCCCTGTTCCCCAAGTCCTTTTGGGAGCCACAGTAGTCTTAAATCATCATCCAGATCCAGTGAACGGCCTGGTCAGAAACGCTTCCGAACACAAATGAGTAATCTTCAACTAAAAGTCCTTAAGTCATGCTTCTCTGACTACCGTACACCAACGATGCAAGAATGTGAACTTCTTGGCAATGAGATTAATTTACCTAAAAGAGTTGTCCAGGTCTGGTTTCAGAATGCTCGAGCAAAAGACAAAAAATTAAAGTTAAACATGGCAAAATCATTCATGATGAATCAAACTGGAACTGATGGACAAAGAACAGAATGCTCTTTGTGTGGTGTTATGTACACTGCCCGTTTGTCTATCAGAGATCACATTTTCTCACAGCAGCATATTAACAAGGTGAAAGAAACAGTAGGATGTCAACTTGATAAGGAAAAGGATTACCTTGCTCCTACGACTGTCCGACAGTTGATGGCTCAACAAGAGTTGGATCGTTTGAAGAAGGCTACAGATACTTTGGGCATAACATCACAGCAACAAGTTCTGCATCAGCAAAGCATAATGGAAAATAATGCATTGCATGGCCTCAATGCTTCGACATCCTATTCAGGCCTCTCTGGCCTTTCTCCAGTCATTCTTCCTGGAGTTAATGGCCCTACTTCACTGCCAAGTTTTTCACAAAACACAACAGGTAAGTTATACAGTGATGTTTATTTCTTTCAAAGTTTTAAAACAAGTAGGGCCTTAAAACGTACTTGCCAAACATCTGTCAACATTCAAATTTTCCATATAGTGAGTTCCAATTTGGGTCTTGTTATCCCTTGCGAGATCCTGTATGCCTCCTTAGAGAGACGGAGAGAGAGAAAGCAGGGGAGAAAAAGTTGGAGTATGAGTCACAATAGATTGTGACTCTAAATGAATAAAAAACCAATAATAAATAGCAATAAACATAGTTATCTGTCAATCTTTTCATCCAAAAGGCAAATGAATATAAAAAGAAAGGATAATATAAAGTGATAGCAAGGATGAATTAGAAAATGAATGAGGAAAAGGTGAAATGTATCTCATTTCATTTTAACACCTTATGAACCTAAATCACTACTGTATGTATGCCTTAACAAACATCTGTTTTAAATAAGCACTTCACAAGATCAGTACTAATATTTAAAACTTAAGGTAAACATTATTATGCATAATAAAAGGTATTTAGTAGATTGTCCATTGAACTACATTTTGAAAGGACGTACTGAGAGCTTTTCTAAATACAGATGAACAAATACCAGCGTCTGTTTGAGAGGTTGTAGGAGATAACTATTAATATTATTCAGACCCAAAAAAAGGAAATACAGATATAACAAAAGAAAATTAAAGTGGATGTTTAAATTTGTGGCACTCACTTTCCCAGAGTGCGATGGATACTGAGACACTGCGTAAATTTAATGAGATAGACAGGTTTTTAATGAGTATTGGGATGAAGGTTTATGGAGATCAGGCAAAAAGTGGAGTTGAGGTTGAGATACGATCAGCAATGATCATTCTAAATAGTGGAGTAGACTCAAGAGGCTGAACTGCCTGCTGCTGCTCCTAGTTCTTACGTTAAATATTTTTATGGGAATATCTAAAGTTTGATTTAGGATGGAAAATATGTGTCCATATATATACTTTCTTGCTTTCTCACAAACAAGGCTGCAACTAGATGAAATATATAAAAGGAGTTAACAGAATTAAGAATGTGTTGCAAAGAGAGATTTAATAAACAAAGAAAATTATTCTCCATTTTTAAGATTAAAGGCAGATGTGTTAGCTGTCAATTAATTTGCTGCCTGCTCCTCTGCTGAGAGAGCTCACCATAGCATGCACCAATCAGCTTTGAGCTGATGGCTGAGCATCTTGGCCTGTCAGAGGCCTCAGCAGTGGCATCTGACTTGCAAACTTTGCCAACCAAGCAGAGGCTACTAACCTCTGGGTCCTAAAGAAATAGATCAACACCTACTCCACCAGGCATCCAGCGGCAAAAGGGTAGGTATTTTTCTTTTGCTTCTGGTGGAATAAGGTCAAGGTGAGTGGGTGTCTGAAGCGAGGGGCTAGATTTTAGATGTCACTCCCCTGCCCCAATTCTATACTCCAGTTGCCCTCAGATAGCCCTGCAGGCAGGTCACCTTGCTTCTCCAGGAAGGAAACCAGCCACTTCTCTCGACCTCCATGAAGGCAGATACTCAGGGGTGGGGGTGACATATTGAGGCCCTTAAGTGATCATTGATTGACATGTTAAGAACATTCCCAATGGGCCTGCTTACAGTCCTTAATTGAAAAAGTGGCAAGAAGAAAAGTGTCACCCAATTATTTCCCCTTGTTCCCAGGGTGGACAAAGTCTCTTTGGTAAGAGATGATAAAACAACTGTCAGAAGGGTGAAAATAATAATGGTGGGTAAGATGGTAGAAGCTTTATAGGTAGAAATTGATAACTACTGAGGCTATAATAATCAAATGTTATCTCAAGGTGAAAAGATGGAGAAGTCTTCGGGCAAGTTTTAAAAAATAACAACTGAAAGAAATCATAATGCATAGTGATCTGACCTTCCTCAAAGACAAAATGGGCAGACCAGAAATTACCAAAGACGGTAATAAGGTTGTCTCTATGAAATAGCCAGTCAGATACCAGAACTTAAAATTTGAAGCAGCTTTTTTTGCTAAATTTAGCAAACCTGGTGAAATGGTTACCAACAACTATGTAGGTAAGGATCTGGGATTCATGAAAATTATATAGTAGTTTTGGGTATTTTCAAGTAATGTACAATAATAAGTACAAAAATTAAAACTCAAAGGTGTAACATTTCAAAAATACAAACCTTTGGGGCTTCAGCTATATAAGGAGGATTAAGTGAAGAAAAGTGATCTAGAAACCAAAGCTATACCACAATTATGTTCTTCCTTTTCACCATTTTATGACTCCTCCTTCATTGCCTGCTATTGTAAGGGGATTGAAGCATAGGTCTGAGAGCTTGGTCTAAGCTGCTTGTTCAAAGTGATCATTATTCATTTTTATAAATTCCTTTGTGGGATGTGAGTCTCGCTGGCTGGCCAGCATTTATTTCCCATCCCCAGTTGCCCTTGAGAAGCTGGTGGTGAGCTGCTGCCTTGAACCACTGTGATCCTTGTATGGCAGTAAGTTTTGGCAGACAACTCAAACATTAAAGCCGATTCTAATGCTGTCTTCCTCCAATAACCATGTTTATACATATGTTAAATATAAATGAAATTGTTTGGATGATAGAAATCTGTAATAAAAACAAAGTGTTGGAAATCAGCAGGTCTGGCTGCAGCTGTGGAAAGAGAAACCGAATTAACATTGTGAGTTGAATGTGTCTCATATTAGATTTGAAACTTTAACTCTGTCTGTTTCTACAGATGCTTCCATAGGTTTCTAGGATGGACATTCACCATCCAGAGGTGAAACACTGATGGATTTTTTTTCCACCTTATCCTATTTCAGCTGCACTGCCATTCCATTAGAGATGAATAAACACAGTGCAGAAAGTGGAATAAACCAGGGAGATCTCTGGTCTGGAGGTCTTAAACATTTCCTCGTTATCAGTTCAACAATCAAAAATATTTTGAAAAGTACAAGGAAGAACAAAATGTAATGAAAACTGGAAGGCATACTAAAGTTGATCAAAAAACTAACAAAGTTAGAAAAAGTAAGAGTAACAGAAATGCAGATCATCAATTGTAACATGCTGATATTCTTTATTAGCAAAATAAACAGCAGATTATGAACAAAGTCCTGCTGAGAAGCTTAAAGAATAGTATGACACTATTTTGAAGGGTCAAGACAGTATGATGTGTTCAGATGAAAAAAGACCAGCCCTTTGTAATATACCAATTCTGTCATCTTCCTACTACAGCATCAATTTTAAATGAGTTCAGTGTCTTAACCTCATCAATCTTTGCAAATCATTGATGCTGTTGATTACTATCTATAGAAAGGAACACTTTCTGACGTCTATTATAAATTGTTAGCTGATTTCCTTGTACTTTTATATTAATGATCAGATAGTGGGGAAAGTGTAGATGAAATAAGTATTTTTGTTTTAGAAATCAGACCGTATGTAAGAGGTTTGTATCTGTTAGAAAATCTCAAGAGAGGTGGAGTCTGTATATGAAATATCTATCTTGAGTTTGGAAATATTAACACAACAGTGTAAAAACAAGTATTTCACTGCATGTCTGATTTGGGGACCCTGCAAATTGTCATACAATTTTAAATCAGAACCCTGATCAGTTGATGAAGAAAGAAAATAAATGTCCAAAAGATTCACGATGCAGTTCTCAGTCCATGCTATTTTTGCCAAGGCTAACAATAGGAATAATATAGTTGGCTTTTATTAATATTAAGACCTCAGAGTTTATGTCTGATATACATTGAGAGACATGTTGTAAATTCTGCATTTAAGATTGAGTATTGAAATGAACTAACCTATTGAAATGCACATTCAAGACGCATGCATGAAGCATGACTACTTGAAAATGCTAGGTTCCCAAGTCTGTCAATATCCCTCATTATGTAGTTCCCACTTGAAATTGACCACTTTAGTGAGACAAGTGTCCATGAAATCATACCTGAATAAAGCCAATACAATCAATAACCTTAACCTATCGACTGTTGTGGAAATCTAAGTTACACAATCTGAAGTTGAATGAAATTATCCAAATCTATAGTCTCGCCACAAAGAATGCAGTGCTTTATATAACCAGCAAATTTCAATACAAACCATTGAATGTAATGTGATTTGGCAGTAAAGGAAATGTTAAGCCAAAGATTGTCTCAAAGTTTCATATGTAAGAAATGGCTTTCAATTCATGGGGTGCTGGTGAAAGCAGGAGCAACTTCTTTAGGATGAGCTTCACTTGAACTTTGCTGGAAACAGTATTTTGGTGAGTCAAGTAACTAGGACTAGTTTGAAACTTAACTAACTTTTCAGAAGGGAGATGGTTCAAGTGAAGCAAAGTTTAGAAAGTTAAAAGAAGGGACAATGCTGCAGGATAGCAATTAAGGATACAATGAGGAAATTAGAATGAGAATAAAATATCAACAAATAAAAACATACAGTAAAGAACTTCAACAAGTGTATAAAGAGAAAGAGAGTAGCGAAAGTAAAGTTTGGCCTCTTCAAGGATGAACCTGAGAATTAATAATGGGAAATGAGAAAATAAGAGAGAGTTTGGGTATTCTGTATCAGGCTGCAGAGTAAAAGACACCAAAAGCATCCCAAGAATATTTTTTTAAAAATCAAGGGACAAGAAGGAGGAAAGGATGTAAAACAATCACCATCACTAAAGAAAAAAGTACCAGGAATACTAATGGGAGTAAATGCAGACCAATCCCCTGGAGCTGATGGCCTGCATCCTAGAGTATTAACAGACATGTTCACAGCGATAGTTGGTAGATTGATTGCAATGTTTCAAAATGTCTTAGATCCCAGAAAGATTGCAACAGATTTGAAATCTTCAAAAGAAAGAGACAGAAATCAGGAGATTATAAGCCTTTTTGTCCATTGGTGAAAATACTGGAATCTATTCTTAAAGAAGTATTAGCAGGACATTGAGAGAATCATAATACAATCAGGTGCAATAAACATGATTTTATGAAACTGAAAGCATGGCTGAAGGACTGGTGTGGGAGAAATAGGT